TATTATTACTAGCAATCTTTGGCACTTGACATAGAAGTACTGTTTTAATAATCCTGAAAGATCATTACGGCACCAAGAACACTCAAGGAAGTGATCCTCACATACTCCAAAGGCTTGTCATCGACACAAGGCTTGAGAAATGGATAAAAATAATGTGGTATTTTAGCTGCAAAAATAAGTTACTAGAAGAATTAATTGTTTCTCATACAACAGTATAAAGAATTATTTCAGAAACTTGATTCACTTTAACGAGTAGTTTGACATAAATTTCATTTCAATTGGTGTTGTTTTGAGAACTAACATTACCTTTTATGAGGTCTTTTATTGTTTCTGAATTATCAGCCTTAACATGAAGAATATTAACACATAGATCAAAATTTTTAGTTCATGAAGACCTCATATAGAAAGAAGCTTCATCAAAAACCAGTTACAATTTAAAATCTTCACCGGGTATGTTAGTTTTTGAGAATTAAATTTTGTGCACACACTTATTGCTAATCGCAACTAAAAATACAGATTTAGCAGGAATTGAGCTATTGCCGCTAATTAATTATCGCCAAATATCATTTTTGATGTAGTGATCTTATCAGATATGGTTCATCAGATGAAGTGTATCTCTAATGCATTTCACTTTGATGTTAATAAACAACAGATTTCCAGTGATTTCCACGAACTAAAACATTACAACATAAAGCACAATCACGAAATGTGGCAGGTCTTGCACAATTTACTAGTACATTGATTATCTCGTGACTATTGAGAATGCATGACAGCAGATGGTTCTATTTCTCAATCTTTTTGATTTTTTTGCTACTTCAACACACTATTTTGATGGTATATTACTGAACTGAAACAAAGCAAGAGCACGACAAGCTCGAGTTTCTTCCCTCATAGATAGCATTGAGAGTGAAAACTTGCAATACAATGATATGATTTCCGAAAATTATTAAGGCAAATTTTATCACGCGTGCATTGACAACTTCTTGCACATTGTCATTTTGCCCCTACACTAGATTAAAATATTTAGTTAATTTCATGTTTAGATATTAGTTATCATATATTTATTTTATTCTTACTAAAATTGAGAACAAAAAAAGTTGAAAATTGAAATACCATTTTGCCCTATACTAGATTAAAATATTATAAATATTTAATTAGTTACATGTTTAAATATTAGTGATAATTAATTATTACATTGAAAAAATGGAGATTTCATGTGTTCAACGGAGGATTGTTTACTCTTACAAATTTTGATCGAGGTTCATTGCATATATTTAATATTCTTAAAGTTGTTTTTTTTAATCTATTTTTCCCCTTCAAACCTTGAAATAATATTTAATTTAAAGCTTTAAGATGTCTCTTCGTATTCCATTATTTTTATCTATATAAATTCATGTTTTTAATATTTCATGAAACTCACATAAAAAATTATCCTTTTCATTTTATAGTTAAAGTAGTGAAGCCATCAACATCTATAGTATATGATATATTTGCCTTAATATGATTATATATATCACTTTACAAAAATAAAATGATTTTTCTATTTGATTCATACTTTTGTTTGACTAGATGGAGAAAACTTTTGAATTTTGATTGGATATGAGAGAAGGTGTCGACAAAATCATAGAATATTACGTGTCAATTTTGTATTTCTTTTTTATTTATATAATGTTATGATTAAAGTCTTAGTAAGGATGCTTATATGTTATTTTTGTCTTCTATGTCTATTTTTTTTATTTCACTATTACTCTTCTTTAATTTAATTTTCTATAAATTATTACCATAACATTTATTTGAGATTGTTGCATTTTCGTACTCATTATACACATGTTTTCATTGAATTTTAATATTCCCAATGAATTTTAATATTCACTATTGAAAATGCATCCTTTCCTTTCAATTTTATCCAATTCATCACACAATTATTCAAATATTATTTCTAATTTTTTAGAAGTTTTGCACAAGTAAGCATTGAATTATACATGTGTAATGTACGTGTCCAAAACTAATTTTCAAATACAAGGTTAAATTAAGGTCATATTAAATTCTACGTCATACCTTTTTTGAGTAAATATGACATACTTTCTTATAGTATAAAAAGAGAAAACTAATCATATCATCATAAATTGTATAAATAGCACTAATAAAAGTTTGCTCATTGTGAAATCTAATGTCCACTAAAAAACATCAAGAAAAAATCAATGATCGGTGAGCTTTTTTGCTTTTCTATCTCACTCATCAAACAATTATCATGTACTAGACAACAATATATAACAAATATATATACAAAAATTAACACTTACATAAAATAGACATATGATAAAATAGTTTACAAATTAAATGTCTCACATACCTTTTAGAGGCGATTCATGACATCTTCATGAAGACTAGCATTATAGATCAATAGCACCAATTGATTTGAAGTGAGAGCACCTAAGTCAGTATTTTTCTATGATGACGATGATGACTATGATCCCAATGTTGATTCAGAAAACGTTTTACAAAAAAAATTTCGCTTAAACAATCTTCCAATTAATAAAGTAGACACTAAAATATGGTGTATATTTTTATTGCTACTCAATAAATACGACTTATTTTTATATAATGAGAGAAGAATGAAGGGGATCATAGAAAATTCATTTGAATGAAATTTGTGGTGTAGTTATACTTTATAACAATTATATATATATCGATCGATTGTATTATTCGTGAATTTGAGGATGTATCCTTCTCAAGTGCAATGTACGTGCCAAATTTTATTTTTCAAATAAAATGTTAAATTGAGGTCATGTTGAATTCTACATTATGCACATTTTGGGTAAATATGACATATTTTCTTATAATATAGAAAGAAAAAACCAATCATATCATGATAACTTCTATAAAGACCACCAACAAAAGTTCATTCATTATAATGTCCATTAAAAATCATCACGAATAAAAATCATTAATGATTGATGAACTTTTTCCATTTCTATCTCACCCATCGAATGACTATCAAGTACAAGACAACAGTACATAGAAAATATATACACACAAAAATAACACTTATATAAAATAGATCCTATAATAAAAAAATATTATAAATGTGACATGTACCTTGTAGATTGATGCACAACCTCTTCACAAAGACTAGCATCATTGATTAATAACACCAACTGATTTTGAGTGTGAAAACCGAAGTTAGTAGGATTTTTCTATGATGGTGATGATACTGATGATCTCAATGTTGATTAAAAAATGGTGACTCGAATAGATTCTTCATTGGAAAGTCTTAAAAAAATTATTCTAAAAAATCTTCCAAATGAAAAAGGAAACACTAAAATGACGTGTTTGATTTTAGTGAAAGACGAAAGGTAATTGTATGCTTACCTTT